GCACTTGTTACTACTAGCTTCTTGTTCCTAATAGCTTCTTGTTACTACTAGTAAGGCACTTGTTACCAGAAGCGATGCACTTGTTCCTAGTAGCTTCTATACCATCATGTTCCACCCTTCTACGGTCGTTCTTTTTGTTTCACGGAAAGATTGAGTGTCGGTTTGCTGCACGTACCGCGTGAGGTACACCTCCTGGTCTCCGCCATTGCTGCCGGTGGTGCTGTGCCAAACATGTCCCTGGAGTCAGGCGAAACTTCCACATGTAAACGAAGACGTTCAGGTGAGCAGCACCTCATGAGGTTTTCGATTGAAACCAACGCCTTGAACGGAGCAATCGAGAACGGAGAAATATGAACGGAGCAAAATCAACTCCGATGGAGCCATGAACGTGTGTGCTGTTTCACATGTTGAGTGAGAACACTCCGGGTCACATGTTACTAGTAGCTTCTTGTTCCTAGTAGTGACGCCAGGAGCTACTAGTAGCTTCTTGCTTCTAGCAGTAAGGTGCCTTGTTACTAGTAGCTTCTTGTTACTAGTAGTAATGCACTTGTTACTAATAGGGATGCACTTGTTTCTATGAGTGTTCACTCCAGGCCATAGCTTTATGGGCTCCGCAGTGGGTGGCCTTTTGACGGCAGCAGCCTATGGCTTGTGGTGCGGCTTGAGGCCAACGAGAGTGGATGGAAGACTCAGCCGGCTATCCTCACTATACTCACTACCCTTGGAAAAGACGTCTTTGTGGATTGGTGGAACAGACATGATTTGTAGAAGATGATCAAACACAGTTGAGCCATGTTCCGCTAAATCGTGTGGAGTCTCGAGTCTTCTTGAAACATTGCTGCGATACCGTTTGCTTTGTGAATAGTATTCATAGTCTCACCATCTTGCATGTTTTGTTCATACTAGTGGGATCCTGTTTATGCTTAAGGCTTAAGGAGCAACTTGAAAAGGCACAGACAGCATGCAAAGCGGCTTCAGACGGAGTCGTCCGGAGCGTGCTGCTTTGTGCGTGCTTTGGTGCAAAGTCTTCAAAACCACAATATACAACACAAAAAGGAAGCTCCTTCTGCCTAAGTGTTGGCGATTCATCCTTCAAACACGCACAACTTCCTGCACCAAAATGTCTGGCGCTTTGTTCTCGAAGTCAGACTGGCCCAACCATAATTAATCGTTCAGTTCTTCTAAGAATAGCTGCTGTAAGTGAATAGGTTGGATGATGAGAACTGTGCAAACATGTTCGTGATTTGTCTAGTGAACCTCAGATCAGCAATCGCCACAACCAGGGATGAACAAGCCAGCAAAGAGCGGTAGAAGTTCTGCTAATGCCCGGAAACGCGGCAGGCCGGCAGGCCCCTCTAGAAGAATTCTCATGTTGTTTTCTGAGTTTTATGTTCCTTGTAGTTTAGGCAGAAGCTCACAAAGTTAGATTCACTCGCGCAGACGCTTGCGCAGAGCAGATGCGCTTGCGCGCTCCTACCGTGCAGGCCTTTGCCCTTGTTGGACATCATCGCGCCGTTGGTGCCATTAGGCGCGTCCAAAGGGTCGTTGGGAGAAACTCTCGTGCTCAACGAGAGCTCGAAGGGAAAAACGGATTTGCTTTGGAGGTGCTTAAAGAGCTCAGCCGCAGCGTGTTTCAACTCGGCTGGTGGGTCGACAAAACACGCAAGGTGAATGCCTCATGAGCCTGATCAACTCGTTTGCTTGTGCCGAGCTTCCACAAGAGACTGAAACACGTCAGTACAATTCATCACCAACGCTAAGAACCCAACAAGAGACATGCTGTTCTGACAATGGGTGAACCAGATTCCATCCGGATCCTTTGTTTGAGGTGAGGTTTTTCTGTGATTCTCTTTGCGCATTTCTTCCTTTGGGTGCCTTGCTACGTCCATTATGGTGTACTCGGAGGCTGCAATCTACTGCAATCTAGTGCTAGAGAATAAGCAAAACCAACTTACCAAAAAAAAATACTTGTGTTTATTATCTTTTTTGTTGAGATCGTATTATTTATCTTTACTGCAGACTCAAACGGCCTTTAGGTCTGAGACTCGAAGACTTGACGACCCTCTGACTAGTAGAGTTCCCTTTTTAGGTACTATGGGACCATGATGGAACCAGAACGCCTTGCGGCATGTGGCTTGGGGTCAGGCCATGCTGTGGGAAAGATCGGTTGCTTCCTGTGCGGCAGCTTAGTTGGGCAGCTTGGGATAATTGAAGGTGAGCTTAGCAGGGGATGGCAGCTTTTTGCATTGATGCAGTGGACCGGCAAAACATTGCAAAACCATTGGGTGTGTTTACTTTCTGGCAAAATGGTGAGGTGTCTTTTTTTGTTGGGGGGACAAGCAGAAGAGCAGCAGGCGAGACAAGGCCCAGTTCCATGCTGGGTGGATCCTGTGTCTTGGACAGAACCTTGGGTTTGGAGGGGACCTCACCAAAATGGACATTTCATGTTGATTTCATGCTGCTTGCACCCTGCTTCCGCATGGTCCCAAGGTAGCTTCTATACACGGCGTGATTATTCCCCCAAGGTCCCAAAGTCAAAGCTGAGGCACTGTTCTGTTTGCCTCACTTGCAAGGGCCTATTCCAATGTATCCGGTTTGGGTTGAAGCTGGATTTCGTACATCAACAGTAGGGAAGGGGGTGTGATATTTGGATCCGAAGACTCCAAAGTCTAGTCACGTCACTCCAACTCACGTCACATGCAAGTGGATGGCATGTGGATCCCTTGGAAGACTGTCCGAAAGAAACCAGCGGGAAGTGGAAAGACTGAACAATGGCACTTCCACTTCTGTGTTCTTTTTCGGTCTTCGACTGTCGGACCGACATGTCGTCACTCCGACCGACCGTTCCGGGTCCCGCAGTTCGGGTGATGGCTGCTATGGCCCGCGCAGCGATGCCCCATGGGACCGGGGGCCCGGCGAAGGTCGGACGGGCCACGGCCGTGGTGTGCACGTGGACGTGTGTGGTGCTCTGTTGTGATGGAAGGTTGTGTTGTTTCAAAATGGGTCTGATGGCTCTGGGTGGGGCTTCGTAGGTTCGGTGAAACCGTCCATATATCGCTCATTGGGGTCTTCTGAGAAGGGTTTGCGAGGCTCGTTCAACAGATGTCTTGAAGTCGGATGCTCGTTCAACGATGTGTTTCACAACTGAAGAGTCATCAGCGACGAGTTGGGCCTCAAGAATGGATTATCGCATGGCCCAGCGGTCTTTAAGAGATGGTTGATCAATGAATGTTGTTGCTCCCCTGCCTGCGAGCAACTACGCAAAGCTCCATCGCTCGTTTGTGCTTGCAAGCGTTGGACTTCCTTGCGCTGAAATGATGCTGCAATTATTCTCAAGCGTAGAGAGGGTTTGAGGTGTGGACAGCATGAATTTGTACAGGACCTCAGGACCATGTATGTTGGCACACTGAATTCCCACAACAGGCTCAGAAGCCGAGCTGGCATTGTGGACAGATAGACTCCAGACTCTAGCCGATAGTTATGTCTACAAGTGACTGCATCGTCAAGAATTTACATGTTGTTTATTGGGGGCAAGGAACTGAAACTGCTTCACACACGCACACATTGAAGCACATGTTCCAAGCCTCAGTCACCACGAGATGACTTCGCCATTGGCTCATCCAAGGCCGTCTCGTTTCCCAACGGATTAATGCCCACGCCCGGGGGCCCAGTGGAGAAGCAGTGGAGCAGATCGGTGCAGATCGGTGACAGGGGAAGGGCAGGAAAACAGATCCTCCCATGGCCATGGCCTTGCAAGAACCTACTAGCGATGGCCTCCAAACCTACTGGCGACGGCGATGGCCTCCAAGGGTCCCAGTCATTTTGGTCACAGTCACTAGCTACTGCCTGAGTAGAATCCCAGTTCCATGACCATGGTTTCCATGGGAACATTGATCGTAATGGGTTCAAAAAGAGATGGTCCAGTTTTGGTAGGAACTTTCATAGAACCCTCGGGATTTGAGGCTTTGGTTAGGGTAGGATGACCATCCCCCAAGCAAGGTGCTTCGGCGACACATGTGAAGAGTAATTTTCCAGCAAAACGACCCGCACCAACCTACTAGCCATGGCCTTCACCCTAGTAGCGGCCTTGCTACTAGTAGCGAAAGCCTCCAACCTAGCAGCTTCTTGTTACTAGTAGCGTCCTTGCTCCTAGTAGTATGGCCAGGAGCCCTTAGTAGCGAACCTTGTTACTACTAGTAAGGCACTTGTTACTAGAAGCGATGCACTTGCTCCTACTAGCGTGGCACTTGTTACTACTAGCTTCTTGTTCCTAATAGCTTCTTGTTACTAGTAGTAAGGCACCTGTTACTACTAGCGTGGCACTTGTTCCTAGTAATGCCCGACCACTTCGCTTCGTCACCGGAGGAACCTGCGTTGCCCGCTGAGGAAAGAGGCGGTGCATCCGACTCCCTTGTACGAGTGCACGTTGTCCATGGTGCCGGAGTGGGCGGTGACCAAGGGTGGCAGTGTCCAAGAGGGTTGGAGTCAAGAACATGTCCGGAAGCACCCAAATCCACGGGAAAGTTGCAAGGAGTGCATGTTCCTGTAAGTTGGAAATGGACTTTTGGTCTCCAGCAACAAGCTGGATATCAGATATACGTTCTATCTCATTCAGTTGGTCATGCTTTCATACACCTGCTCGCTCAGATGGAACCTGGACCTATCCACTATCCACACCCAGACCTCGCCTCGCCTCTCGCCTCGCCGCAGACGCTCTTTCTCTTTCTGCACTTCTTTGTGTCGCTGCCGTCAGAAGGCGGCCCTTCTCGAAACGTAGGCGGGACCGGTGGGACCGGGATGGGAAGGCGGCCCACCCTCGGTCCCTCAGTTGGTCCTCCACGTTTTGAAAGAGACTGAGACCGTGCTTCCAAACCAGAAGACAACATGACTGCAAGTTGCAGGCAACATCAAGGTCCGTTGTTCCAAGGGAATCCTAAAGCACTTGATGCATTCCTCTACCTACCTGATATTGCAAGACCTGCCAACAAGATATCTTTCCCTGCCAAAAGGAGCCAAAAACCTTTCCTCGTCCTCTTGTCGGTCACGTTGATCACCACCTTTCCTCTGACAACTTTCTGAGGGTGCACTCCGGCAAGAGGCGTGGACAATACTTTCCCTGTGATGACAAGTGGTTGGGTGGCTATGTGTACCACTTCCCCAGGAGGTGCCAATGACAACTCATCATTTCATTAAAAGGTGTGAAGACGAATGCTCGAAGAAAACGCTGTGTGGACACCACTCAAAGACGTGGCGCCTCCATCCTAACAGAAGGCTTTAAAAAGAGAACATGTGGATTCTTCCCTCCGTGAATCAGTCACCCTAGAAAGACTCCCGGTCATCAGTTTGAGCTGACCGGTCACGTCCGCTCTGCTTTTTCTGAGGCGTTCGGAGTGCCCTGACCTTGTCGTTGTATGGCCTGGAACGCATGGCCATCGAGCCCTTCCGAAGGCCACCGTGTGGGGAGGGTGTCGCGTTCGGAACCATCCGACCTGCCACAGAGGCTTCTGTTTGAATTGTTTAAGATCATTCGTTGGCAATGTCTAGTGCATTTAGCGGGAGGGTTCAAATTCAGAGGTTTTATCTCCAGTCACATGTTTCAACCTGTTTGAAGCGCTGGCCCGGCCTCTCTCATTACAGCGAGTACCTGAGTTCCTTCCGACATCTCGGGAGAGGGATCCTGCTAGTAGGTGCGGAATGTGGAAGAGTTGATCTCAATCTCCGTATTCGGAATGATTGTCTTCACCAGGTAGCACGTCGATTCCCCCCTGGCTGTTATGTCGAAAGCAGAAATCCAAACGTGGGACCTCTCGACTCAGCCAACATGATCGCACCCAAATCCCTAAATGGCACCGCTGAAGACGACGCTGAAGACCCGTTCTGGGGCCACAACCCGGGTGTGTTTCGTTGTCGGCAGGGCCTGCCGAAATCTCCGGGTGCCATGATGAAGGCTCCTCAGACTCAGGCATCCTCCGAGTGAATACTTGTTTGGCCTCACGGAGTATCAGTTCCTGGCGGCAGCTTGGCAGTGGAACTTGCAGCGCATGCAGGGGAACACTCGGTGGGGGACGTGAACTCGGATTCTGAACACAACATGAGCTGCATAGTCATCAAAAACTTACATGGTCTGAAAATCCGCTCAAGAGTGTCATCTCAGGTTTGGGGTGTATATCATTGACGTTCTGCAGAGTTTAAAGCAAGGCATGGAGGGGTACGTATCCATAAACTGCAACTCTTGCAAATACTGACCAAGAAACCCCACGTGGAATAGCTGTACTAAAGCTGCACAATGAAGTGCAAGTGTAGCACGCAAACTCGGCTTTTCTTCAATGCCCATGGCTACTTGCGTGTGCGAAAGGTGGCAACACCGGAACTGGACGGGGCAGAATCGGCCAAAGCGGTGAGATACGGCAGATACGGAGCAGACCTTTTGTTCAACATCGTTTGTTCAACATTGTCCAAGGGCCTGTCATCTGAGGTGATCTTCATCTTGCTTGGCGGGGCGGGGTACTCAGCTGTCAGTTCTGCCAAGCTGTGGAATCAACAAGCATGGATATGGTGGATACTTTCCTGGTTGGGTGGGAGTCCATGTTGTTGGGGAGGTTCTCCATGATATCGGTGAGCTTTAGTGTCCACCTACCTACCTAGGTTGCTGTCCCGTTCTCTCATATCAAGTAGTGCTGCGACTTCAGAGTACATGGTTCAAATGTCCGAATTCCCATATGTGGTGGAAGAACCCACATGCAAGCGGTGTGATGCCAAAAGCGAGGTGGCAAAAAGACACCTTCGAATCGAGTTCTTGATATTTCGCTTGTCGCCACTCCTGCCGGTGAGGTGCTTTACATCCTGGGCGGGACAACAGACCCCTGGCCCTTGCGCTTTCCAAAGAAGGCTGAAACGGCGGAAAGAAGCGACGTAGGGAATTGTGAGGGATGCCGAATGCTGTGATGCGGAGAGTTTAACATGAATTTTACTCAAGCCAAGATGGAATCTCTGAAACCACCTGTCAATCTTTTCCTGTCAAAGCCACATTGCCAGCATGAAATGAGCATCAGCTCAGCTTGCGAACAAAACAAGGGGAAAGGAATTGGACAGCAACTCTCAGAGGCCCTCAACGGCAAGTTCCGTTGACTGGTTGAAGTGGGTTGAAGTGGGTTGAAGTGGGTTGAAGTGGGTTGAAGTGGGTTGAAGTGCCTTGTTTTCTTACCAAGTTTTGCAGGATTGTCAAAGCTGCTGGGTTTGCGATTGATTTCGGACCGTTACCTCACCAATACAGGGCGCGTACCACTTCATCCTCATGGACCGAAATCGGAGATTGCGAGCGTTCTCCCGCCCGAGAAAGCGGTCTCCAGGAAAACGCTGAAGAGACGGAAGAGAAGACGGAGGATGAGAAGAAGGAGGATTGACGACCTGAAAAAGGTCTCGAAGGATTGGGATCATGTCACTGACTTGCGAAGTTTCCAGCTTTTGTATGCGAAACTGTCTCGTTCTTTTGTCCAAAGTTGCAGCATGTCCTCAACTGTCAAGGCAACATCCAATAAGCGGGGCCTTGGGGCCGCTGTGATTGAGTTTGATTGAAACATTGATCCAAAGCTGTGACATGGCTTCACAGCTATTGACAGTCAATGACACCCGGTAGATTTGTTGCTTCCCACTATGGTCCTATAGTAGTGTGCTGCTGGGCTACTCTTCTGGGTAAGCTATTCTGACTGGTGTTCAATATCTCTGGCATGGTCTGCGTAGTTTTTGACATTCTATCTTAATCTTTCCGTTTGATACCACCCACCCCTTCATCAGGGCTTTGCCAACAACCCTGTGAGAACGTGACGTGTCCAAAGTAGATTGTGCTTCTGCAGCTGCAGCCCAAAGTTGGCTGAAAAACAAGCTCAGTCAATTCGATCCTCTCATGGCAAGGCCTAACGTGGCGCTGTGGGAATGGCATGTGCTCGCAAATAGCGCCAGAGAAGCTCTGCAGTCGCCCGACACCGGATGGCAAACATCGCCCAAACCTGGATCCGCTTTTGCACCAACGCACCGTCAGAAGGGGGGACCCTTCACCAACTCGGTTCCCTTTCCAAGATCGTTGCTGGAACTGTGATTTTGTGCCTTGAGCTTGGGCTTTCCTACCCTAACGCCTGGTAGAGTCATACCGTTGTTGCAGCTCGTGTTTTCTCCTTTGCCCTCCCAGGGTCCCTGGAGAGGTGCAGGACTGGTTCTCTAAGAGTCCGTGAGTAGCTCTCTATCTCTGCCATGCCATGCCGCGCTCCGACACCGAAACCGTGACCGGCTCCAGCGCCCCTGTCGCACTGCCGGCTGCGGTCAAGCCGCAGTCGGTCGCCGGGCGGTTCGGGGCAGGGTTAGTGAGAACCGCGCAACGGCACCGCCAGGTACAGCCCAGTTGGAGCAAAAGAAGAGCAACCCAGCCGTAGGCCCCTGTAATTAGGTGTACCCAACATGCAGCAAGACAGCTGGCCGCAGTTATCTAACTGAGTCAGGCTGGACAAACTTGTTGGGGAGCTGCACACCAAACGGGATTCAACAAGTCTTCCACACCACAAGAGCTTCATACATCACACATTCCATGACATTCATGGCCAGGACAACGAAATCAAAGCATGCAACGTTAACTGGATCACATGTCCCATGCTAGCGGCACGAGTAGTGCAGCATCAAGCAAAACCGCATCAAATGGCATCGACCATCGAAGCGCTGATTTCTTGTCCGTTCGCGGGGATCGCCTAATGACCACCCCGACCGCCAGCGAGCATGGTGTGCGCGCCTCAGTGAGTGTCGCTTCTGTAGATGAGGGCCTACATGTCAGCGGAAGGAGCACAAACTCAACTTCCAACAGTCATCTTGAAATAGATTGCAAATATTTGTTGTGGTCGGAGGCCATCGCTAGTAGGTAGATTTCAGTTGGCTATGTGACATCTGGATCTTTTCCACAGAGAGTATTGTGTATTTGGGTGCTCAGCACCATGTTTTCCCCATTATGTAGTTGTTTGTTGCAACGTTCAGGGACTGCGCAGGATTCGTGATGTTCCTTTACACGTTTTGCAGACCCAATCATGGAGGCCATGACAGACTGCAGTTCCGACTCCGACGATCAGACGTCTCTTGTCCGGCGATTTTTTGACCAAGTTCCAATGTATCAGATTTGGAACCACCATGACAAGCCGGGTGCGTGCTTTTCTTCTGCTCGCTGTAGGCGTTCGGCTTATGATCCTCTTTTCAATGAGACTTTCGAGGCCCTTATGAGCGTGGGCGGATTGCGCTATGGTAGCAGTTAGTGATTTGTGGAGTGGTAGCTGCACAGCTCAACCTACTGATAAGGAATTGAAGAATACGCACTGTAGATGCCTCAGTCATTGTCATCCGAAAACACGTCTCTATTGGTGACTGGGTTTCTCACGGACTATGTCCATCGAGAAGTCCTTTGCATCCTACATCCCCAGCTGTTGACCAGTCGATGCTCAACACTTGAACCATGGGAATGCTCCAGTTGAATCTAGCTGGACGATTCTGGACCTGTTTCCCTTTTGGTTGCTCATCATGTCGCGGCCACCGCAAGAGCTGCCGCAGGCGCGACATCCAACGCCTGGGGACTTAGGGGACAACGATTGGAAAGGTTGAACAGAGCAGAAGGACTTCTCTCCTCCCCGTGTGCAGAGAATCACAGCCTGAGCCTTCAAACACTGAAGTGAGATTGGCTTGGGGAGAGGAAAAGATTCCATAAACTTACCTAGTTGAACTGGTCGTGATTGTTTTGTAACGGATGATTGTGATACTGCTGCACAATGCACAGCTAGAAACTGGGCTTCCAACAAACACCTTCATGGTTGCCGAAGAGCGCGAGACCAAAATGGCGAGCATATGCTGTGAATGAACAGCATCCTGCACCTGATCAATCAAATACGCTGGAGTTTCATCATTCCCTGCTTCTTTTGGTGCAAGAGGTGTACGGCTGAAACAGTTCCCACATAAGACTTCCTTGCTTGGACTTACCTCAAAGAATTGGCTACGACCATTTGGCCTGTCAGTGATTCAGTAGGCTTGAAAACGAAAACCTTGGAGGGTTGAAATTACGAGTCTTCAACATGTTTGACTCCAACTTCCTGATCACCGCAGTAGGGAGAAGTTTGATGGATGGACGCCCAAAAAATCGACAGACTTCTTTGTATTACATCTGACAGTTCAAAGGAGTCCTGACGTAGATGGATAAGTTCTCCGCCCAATGTCTCCTGCAACATCCAACAATCAGAGACCTGTTTGGATGCAAAGACGAGGGATGTTTGCGGACGTAGTCCTTGCAAAGGCACATGGACTGCGAACAATTCACCTTCAAGACAACATCTATTTAGGACAAGAGCAGGGTGCCTGAAAAGTATCAAATTACAGGCCAGGAGTCTCTTCGGTGGATGTCAAATTTCCTCACACCGGCTGGTCATGAAATGTCAAAGAGCACTAGTGTGTGGACTTTTGTTTGATACTAAGGGGGTTGAGTTGGCAGTGATCCGTCAGGTTGTTCAAATCCTAGGAATGAATACAGGACGCTTCTGTCGAGTCAATCGGCTCTCTTGTGGCTCAGGATGCGCCAAGCTTCAAAGACTCAGGTGGCGCTCTGTGTTGGGTACTGATCGCTGGAGAGTCCTCTGCCTCACCAAGCTAATTAGAAAGAGACGCAGAGCCACGTACCAATACATGTTACTACAGAGGAGCCGTTTCAGCGTGCCAAAAGTCAACATGAAAGGGATGTACTAATCTAAGATGAAAAAACGTTACTAGCTTCTTGTTACTACTAGTAAGGCACCTGTTACTACTAGCTTCTTGTTACTACTAGTAAGGCACTTGTTACTAGAAGCGATGCACTTGTTCCTAGTAGCGAACATTGTTCCTAGCTAATCTGAGATGAAATAAATTTTAATGAATAAGCTACTAGGAACAAGTGCATCGCTACTAGTAACAAGGGCCTTACTAGTAGTAACAAGAAGCTATTAGAAATGCCTGCGGCCGTTCCAGGTCCCTCAGACCTTTTTCAAGCCCGGAACCGAGGACGTGACACCGGGGGACTGGACGGAAAGTGCGTGCCGGACCCGACGATCTGGGTAAGGACTCTCCGAGCGTCCGAATGTCTGCCGAGGCTTGTGAGCTTCCTAGTGCTTCTGTTAGCTTTGGTCTCACCGTGCGCAGCCCAGAATGAGGACCGAAGGCAGCCCAACTTTCGCGAGCCGGAGTGTGAAGGTGTAAATGTGGCGATAGTTGTCGTTCGATGTTTCTTTGCCGCAGGTTGGCACACAAAAAGGAGGGTACCGGGGTCTTGACCCACAGCCATGTGCAGATGAGCCTTGATAGGAGTCATGGATAGGCAGGCATTTGTGAGACCCAGCTATTTTGGTGTTCACCACAGCTGACCGGGTGTTTTTTCAATTTGACTTGCAGCTACAGCCACACAGTAGATCAACTTAGGACAACATCCAGGAATCCTGCCCGTTCCTCACGGCCTACCCTCCCTTGTTAAGAAACCCAAAAGCAAGAAAATCTAGAATCACTGGCTAAATGATGCAAAAGGCACGTATCAAAGTGCTGTAGCACTTTGGCCGTAATGGCCTGGCGAGCAGGAAGAGGAGGTCATCGATTTTAGCATCGCCAACGAGGGCAGCGTGAACTCGTTGGAGGAGGCGCTCGAAACGACGTAGGTCCAACCCATGGAGATCACCCATAGGTTGAAGTGATCCGGATTGAGGGAGTACACGAAGACACCACCAAAGGTGAAAGTAGGTTCGCTGTAACGAGTCTACTCAGAGACCTGTCTACTAAGCCATTTTGCATATCTAAGAGACGTGTGCGGGGTTGTATTTCTCTTGGGTTGGAGAGGAACGTCCCAAAGGACGACAACATGTCTCGTGGGATCTGTGGTGTTGTGATCGGGGGCTGTGCTTGAAACCTTGAAACCCGCACACACAGGGTCCAGAATAGGCTACTATACTGGTCAGGCAAGATGTGAGTATGAATTCGGTTTTGGCCTTGGGGATTTGGGAGGCTTTCCTAGTAGCGATTCTTGCTCCTAGTAGGGTCCTTGCTCCTAGTTGCGATGCCAGGAGCCCTTAGTAGCTTCTTGTTACTAGTAGTAAGGCCAGGAGCCCCTAGTAGCGTCCGATCGCTCCTAGTAGCTTTCGCGCAGTTTCGTTTTGACCTGAAGGAACGAACCGATGCAGACTCAGCTCTCCATCCACAGTCCCCCTTGGCGATCGATCGATTGCAGACTGATTTGATGGGTACAGGAAGGTTCACCTAGTTTGGTTGGTTGGGTAAGTGTGCGTGTTTCTGTCGTTTGCTTCGGCTTTCCCAAGATGTTCACCAGCAACCGGAACGTGTTTCTGTGTGTACCACCGCAGGTGGTCAGTGG